ACAATTTATTCAAAATTTACATCTATCTGTAAACATCCACAACATTATCTGTACATGAAATGTTAAAAATAGTATCTCAAATGAACATACATTCTAGATTATTAAGATTTCTAAGGTTTTAGATTCATAGTATTTACTTCCTTTGTTATTTTAAATATTCCAGAATATAGGCATTTCCTATAACAAAGGAAAAACAATAAGGTGCACTTTGGTAAAAGCTACTAAATGTTTGGATAATAACATTAATCTCAGGTCGACAATACTATATTAGTTCAGTTTTGACTGGTATTTTAAAAAAGACTATTTTCATGTCATTTAAACACTGTTATTGTTATTATTATTATTAATGTCATCATTAGCATCTGGATTCAAAACATTTTTATTAGCAGAAGAAAGTGACAGACTTATTCTTTGCAATTACATTTATCTCATTCATTTACCCCAATACCCAAATACAGACAGTCGTTATGCACACTTGAAAATACTGATTAGCCATAATTATCCTTAAGATGGATGGGTGAACTACAAATTAAACTCTTGAACTTGTAAGTAAGGAGAATGAAATTACCCCTTAAAATTTTAACCAAAAATCAATTATATTGGATTAAAGCAGAGATCCCCAGCCACCCAATGAGTCATTGACTCCCAGAGTAGGCTAACCACAGTGTGTCTTAAAGTGTTACTAAAAGGAGGGAAAATTAAATAGCTTCGCAGGGAAGGCCCTTCTACTCCTGACATGTGCTGGCACAGAACATCTGCACAAGGAACCCCAACTGTCTGGGGCGAGCGGGTGGGACTGAGGGGCGAGTGGGCTCTCACTGAAGAGCAGGAAATCAGTGAGTTAATTTCTCTGGGCTTTGAGCTTCTGTTGTCTGACAAGAGCATGGTTCACAGGAAATAACACAGCCTGTGGGGTCTGGAAACAGCCTTCATCGATGCTACAAGTGAGACGATATGAAGAAAACAAGAAACATCAGCTTCTGTTGAAATTAAAAACTGAGAAAGGATATATGGAACCCTAAGACTCACAAAGGAGTGTGAGTAAAAATGCTAGCCACAAAAAAAAAAACAACAACAAAAAACAGTCCATTAGCAAGTTGTGTGCCTCTACACCAAAATACCATCTCTATGGCTCACCACCTCCATCTTGGCCCACTTTCCCATTATTGCTCATAAGGACCAAGGCCGCCTGCTTCCACCCTAGTCCCTCCAGTCACATCCTCACAGCAGCAAAAGAGAAAGTAAAAAATGTGAATGAGCTCAAGTCACTCCCCCCAACCCCTCAGTATAATCCAGGTACCTCATGTGGCCTCCCATCCTTGCACAGAACGTGACTGCCTCTCTCTCTCCGTTCTCTCCTTCATACCAGGATTGTTGTGGCTCCTCAACTGCCGAGGGCTCACTCACCCTCCCTGCACCTGCAATCCTCCTCTTTCAGATGCTCACGGGGTTCCCACTTCTGCCCCATCTGTCCTGCGTTCAGATATACCCGTGACCACCCAGTCCACCCAACCTCAAACAGAAGGCCCCAACCCAAGTCATCACCTAACTCCTTACTAAGCCGTTTATCTTACAGCATTATCATTATCAGACATTTGATGTGTCGACATGTGCCTATACGTGGGTATGCACAAGTGTATATAAGTACACACACACACACACATATTGCTTTTACTTTTTGCTCTTTTGCTGCCTGTCACTGAACAGAACTCTCAGGAAGTAGAGACCTATTTTTTGGACTGGAAATTGCTCATTAAATCTGCTCTATTACAATTTTTTTTTAAAGATTTACTTATTTATGTACACAGAACTAGGGTATAGGCCAGGGATGGTGAGAGGATTCACCAGAGACAGAACAGGCAGATAGATGAAGTCCACTGCTGAGAGGAGCAGGGAGAAGGACAGCAGAGGTTTGCTGCGCCATATTGGCTGGGGACTGAACTAGTACTGAAGCAGCTGCACCTAGCTTCATAGTGTTGCACTTTAACCTGTTGCACCACCAGGGAGGGCCCCTCTATTACAAATTTTTTAATAAGTTTTTTACTTCGTGTTAGAGTAATCTCTTAAACTATAATTTACTACAAGGGAAAAGTATCTTCACCGAGAATTATTTATTTATTTATTAATAATATAATAGTTTATTTTTACATCATTTTGTGCATGTTTTCATCTCAGTTGTAATCTCCATGGTCTTCCCATCACCAAATCACCTGTATGCCATCACCATCGTCCAGTGCACTTCCGTCCCCCCACTGTTTTTGATCCCATTCCCCACTCTACCCCCATAAAATGTCGCTGAGTTGTTCATTATTATTATTATTTTCTCCCCTGGAGAATTATTTTTTAATTTTTATTTTTTGCTAGCAAAGTTATAAATTGATAATTTCTTTTTTGCAACTAAGTATTTGGTCTTATAAATATTATTTCCTTAACTTGATTGGAGACCTTCCCTAAGAAAATGGTCCACTCTTGGGCCCTTCCTGGTGGCGCAGGAGGTTAGGGCACAGCACCACAAGCTGGCCACAGTCCCTTCAGTGTGAGTTCCACCCCGTGCCCTTGAGACGATCTACATACATGGTGCAGCAGACCTCTCCTGTCTTACCCACTGTTCTCCTCAGCATTGTATCTCATCAATTAGCCTGTTCTACTCCCCACTCTGTCTCTGGGGAATCCTCTCACTGCCCCTGCACCTGTGACCTATACCCCAGTCCTGTATACATAAATAAGTAAATCTTTAAGTAAATGGTCCACTCTTGCAGAGGTGAAGTAGAAATAACAGAAAAAACAAGACCTCTTTCCCTATTGTAAATAGAGCAGCAATAAAAATAGGGGTGTGGTGTCCTTTTGAATCAGCGTTTTTGTGTCCTCTGGATAGATACCTAAGAGTGGGACTGTTGAGTCATATGGAAGCTCCGTGCTTAGTAGTCTGAGGAATCGTCATACAGGGGTGGGACCAGTTTGCATTCCCAGCAGAGCAGGAGAGTTCCTTTTTCTCCACATCCTCACCACATTTGTTGTTCTCAGTTGTTTTTATATGTGCCATTCTCACTGAGAATGGTATAAAAAATATAATAATAAATATATTTAAATTTAAATAAATAAATAGCTAAGAAAAAGAGACCTCCTGTGGTCTCGTCCCACCTAATGCTCTCCTACACCTGTAGCAGCGGCCTTGCTCTGTTTCCTTATACAAGTCCCTCTTTTCCATCATCCCATTAACCACATCAATTCACTCAGTTCCCTGTAAGAGGGAAAGAGGGAACTGCATAATTACATTTTTATAAATAATAGATGTACCAAAATAAAAGAGACCTTTCTTTTATTTTTGTTTTCAATAATCTTGATTTAAATATAATGAAAATTTCAGTCTTTAAAGGTTTCCAGTAACATGGTCATCTTTGACTGTGACCACACTTGAGAACCCAAAAGCCTCACCAATCGCCTTGACAAACAGGAAACCTCTTAGCTCCTTATTAAAATTAAAGCACATGATTGATGGCGAAAAATGGAAGCCTGTCTTAACAGTGTTTTCTGATTTCATAATAGTCCTTCCCTCCAATGCAACTATCTGAAATCACATGAAGGCCAGTATTTCTATCAGAAACAATATATATGACTTCCATTTCTATGACATTAAAATTCACACTAAGGATGAAAGGTCACGTGCAGGCAAACTGCAGTTGATTTCACCGAAAAAGTCAAAGACTGTTTCAGCCTCTCAGTTTCTAAGAATGGTGAGGCTATTTCCAACTACTGACAGATTTTAAATTGCCATACCTTTTGTTGTGGCCATTTCTCATTTTTATGTAATTCAAGAAATATCTACGTCAAAATCCTGACTAAGCTGCTAGCATGTTATTAAAAGGAAAGTAAGTTACATATTTCCTCTCACATATTCTTTATTATTCCCATGCCCTTAAATTAGGCAGTTAAGTGGCACACGATCATGATGAGGCTACTGATTCCAGTGCCTTCTCACACAGCTGTTCACTTAACATTTACTGAGTGAAACAAGAGTCAATGATAGGAATGAATCCACAAATTCATTAGAAATCCCACATATGTTTTTGACAGACATGTGACAGGTAAACATCATCCTTTGCAAGGAGAGAATATGAGTAAGACAAGACTGCTAAAGCAAGAGGAAGTGTAACTGAGATCAGAGGAAGTTTTTGTTCTAGAACATAACTCTTAAAAGGAATTAAAGTATCATTTCTGCTAATTCCTAATTTATCCAAGGATATGTTGTTACAGTGTCTCTCTTTACAATAAAATGGATGAAGGAGGGTCAAATGAGAGATAATTCCTTGAACTTCATGGTCTATAGGTCCTGTAAAGCTGGCAAAGATGCAAAATCAAACAAACACATCAAGGATCAAGGATATTAATCGATAATTACCAAGCACATGTATGTAGGGGAAAAAGGAACAACATATGCAGGTAGGTATCAAAAAGGCAGCCAGAATGGTCAGAATGACAGACACACACAGGAGTAATAGACACAGGTCAAGTCCTATTTTTACACATTTCTCCTGCCTCCCTGTTTTCACTTAATGGCCTATTTTTGAAGAGGATCACTGGGTGCCACTGTCTAGAATTCCAGGGAGAGTTCATCAACTGGCCCAAGAACTGATAAACTTCTCCAAATTAAATATACTCATGAAAACAAAACTGGCATAAGTGATATAATCTATATTATTTAAAAAATGCAGGCTTAGGAATTAGTCAAACTTAAATCAGAATCTCATTTCCTAGGTGAATTTCTGAAGGCAAGTCATTTAGACCACCTGAGCCTTCACTAGCACATCCTTTTAAAGTAGGGATAATACCTTATTTCACAGGTCAGTTATAAGGAAGAGATGAATCACATGGACAGCCTCAGACACAAGCTAGCAGTGAACAGAGGTTTGATCATTATTTGCATCTTTGACATTATTTTGACCCATCTCTGCACTTCCATCATTCAATTACATGAGAGGCTGCCTACGGGCAGAACTTACCCACAAAGAGTTGACTGTTGAGCTGTAAAAGGACATGCCCGTCAGCAGGGGCAGGCTGCGTCTTTGGTGAGAGCTGATCCACTTGAATCGACGCCTCCTTTGTGTTCCTTTCAACACGAACGTGGTGCCACTGGTTGTCGTTGAAGTGGGTAGGTGATTGCACTGAGATTTCCAAAGGCCCGTTCCCCACATCAAATGAAAAGGTCACTACTGCTGGAGCTGGAAACATGGGGCATGAAGATTGTCCTGGTTAGGGGGGATGGTGCAGGGGGAGTCTTCAACATCCTCAGGAAGAATACCCAAGCCAGGAAGTATTAACGAGATGGAGAGGAGGTTTGAAGTGCAGGGAAGGGTTCTAAGATACCCGCACATAACAGACATGGAAGAGGGTGTAAGACACATTTATAATATTGGAAAAGAAAAAAATTTTAAGAAATTTAGTCTCACAGTCAGTTTTTCATTTTGATGAATCATAAAGTTATTTGGCTGGATCAAGAAAATTAAATAGCAACAAGGATTTTATTAAAAAAAACTATTTTGTAGTGATTTGATTTGAGGTTTACATAATTTTGAAAGCATACAGTATATTTTTGATATTAAGGTACTATTCAATAAACACAGTCTAAAGATTATAATATTATGGCCGGCAGATTTAATTAAGTAATTTTGCAATTAGCTGAGAATTAAGTAATTAAAAATCAAATAATTTAAACATTTAATTATTTGAATGAAAAATTTTCCTCAATTGGTTGTAGAGAATACTAGTAATTTTCCCAAATTATCATGTTAAATACCAAATTATATTCCTGCAAAAAAACATTAACTTAGTATCATAGTTTCTTCAAAGGGATACAGTGAAAAGACTCAGCTGATAACGTAGAAGCACAGTAGTTAACAATTACTTAAAGGAACTACTGCTAAATAGAATCCCACAGAATTCTTTAGAAAAGGAGACTTACAGCGGAGCTCTATGCGTATAAAATCAGTGATCCCCAGGTTCTCTAAAAACACCCCAGATGAAGCTGTTGTCTTAAAAAAGAAAGAGACGTCAGCACTAAGCTCTCCATGAAAAGTAGGAAAATGAAGGTATGAAGCCTCAGTATTGAAAGAAGCTGAATTCCAAAATGACCCTGTGTTAAAAAGGGAAGAAAGAAAAAGTTTGTCAAATAAAACCAGTGACATAATTATACTGCATTGATGTAACACTTTTTTTAAAAAAAAAGATTTATTTTTATTTATTTGTGCATACAGAATTGGGGTACAGGCCAGAGGCTCTGGGGTGGCGAGAGGCTTCACCAGAGACAGAGTGGGGAACAGAACAGGCAGGTCGACGAAGTACACTGCTGAGGGGAGCAGCGGGCGGGTCAGGAGAGGTCTGCCGCGCCATGTGGTCACCTCCGGGGCAGGCGGGAATCGCACTCATGCAGAATTGGCTTTAGATTCTCAGTGCTGTGCTTTAACCCGCTGCGCCACGAGGGAGGGCCGATGTAGCACTTTTTAATATGCAAATACTATAAAGTTAAACAACCCTGCTTTCTTTCTTCTAGTCACTGTATTGTATAGATGATAATTGGAGATTTTACAATCTTGGGTTCCATCCCAAACAGGAGAGGAAGACTACTGCAGAAATGGCCCAACACTGCATTTTATACAAGAAAAATAGTCTCAGACTACATGTCATTATGTAGCATGTGTTATGACGAGCATCTGTCGAGCATCGATTAATGGATTCAGTCTTTTTAACTTGGTGTTTAAACACCTACATTATTTTGAATAACTAAAGCCCTTGAGAAGCTCAAAGTGTTTTTCTTCTAACACTTCTAATGCACACATTTCACAGAGTTACACTCCCGACTAACTGTGTTCACTAATGGGCCTTATAGGTTTCCAAACTGAGGCTGCTGTTCCAAATATTCTCCTCTAATTAAAGATCAAGGCACTTACTCTGTGCCATGTTGATATTCTCATAAACATGCTTTTATTTGAAATTAATTTTTGCTTTGCTTATAATTTTGAAGTACAGAGACAGTAGGAAAACAAATTGGAAAGTTTTCAGACTTAAAGAGAACTGTTGAAAAGATGGGAAAAAAATTTTAGTCTATAAAGTTAATAATACTTTCTGCCCAAATATAACTTATCTTCACCTTCCCATTCGTGTTCCTACTACAGCTATATAACTTTCCTTTTGAAAAAATACTGTCGTCTTATATAGCAGAAAGTACAGAGAAGAAATTCTACACGCTGTGGCATGGAGTGACCGGGGTGAAATCCCACTGGCTAGTGTGTGGCTGATAAGGAATCTTATCAGAGAAATGAACTAAGCACTGCTGCTGCCCCCAGCAGGTTCTCAACACATCGAATATAAATATACATCTTGACTCTTAAGCAACTGTCTCCTTATATACTCACAACGCTGGATGAAATTCCCCAATCTAAATTACCTTCCTGGAAGAAAGATGTATTATTGATCCTCTGAAGTTAGAACACAGCAATTTCAAAACAGCAGTTCATTATGTTAGCAGAGAAAAGAGAGCTTTACTAGAGTTAAAAATCTCAAACTTTGACTTGTGCATAATCTTCAGATTTCAATTAATTTAAATTCTGTACCAAAGAAACAGCACTTACATCTGTTTTTTTTTTTTTTTTTCTTCTAGTTATCTTATGGACCAGACTGAATGGTCAATTCTCAGCTCATCTATGAGATAATTTTAGAGCTGAATTTATTCAGTTGAGAATGTATTTTAAAGGTGTTCCCCTCCCCTTCCACCCCCCCACACAAAACATTGAGTATTGTGAAGCTTATTTCTTACTTTCTTTTTACAGCTATTTCTATGTGTAAGACATTTCGATCTAGAGGGAAGCAAGCAAGAACATGCCAAGTACCAAGTCAGAGATATTGGTTCTTCTCTAACCTCATCTACTTTCAGAAGGAATTAAATGCCTTTCATTTGAAATGTTATATAGATGAATATGAAAATAAAGCAATAACTTTAAATTATGGAATGTTATTAAATCTTACTTATTTGGTCTGATTAGAAAGAACACTCAAAATTACTTCAAGGTCGAAATTAAATAATATTATTATAAGATGTAATCATTCATTTGTGTCATTTTTATATCCTAACAAACCCAATAAAGTATCACACAGGAGGCTTCAGGGAACTGGCTGAACCAGAGCAACAATTCTTTGAATTGCCCCTATCTTCACAATGAAAGCTTTACAGTAATGAAAACAATTTATTGCTGCAGGTAGCTTAAACACTCTCACATATATAACAGTACCGATTTCATTTAGTTATCAAGCATTATTTTACAACTAACAATCAGTAAAAAATGCAGAACACTTTATTACATTAAGAAATTGCTGCTAATTCAAAGTGATTATAAAGAAAGGAGATTCTGGCTTCTCAGAGGAGGAAAAGCGGGCAGAGCAGAGCCCAGCAGGCCTAGCCCAGCGGGCAGGCGCCAGCAGGAGTATAAGGACTTTTGAAGCATTCCTGGGTAAGGTGACTTAAATGCCTCTAAGCTGCACAGGTAGCAGAGCTACATCAGTCACTGGCTGTGTGTATTCTAATGGAGAGAATACAGCTCCCTTTTATCATGTCAACAAAAGCAAATCATGATGTATTTTTCAAAGTGATTAATAATTACTAATTGCAAAGCAACTAATAGTCAACACATTTCATTCAAATGTGTCTTTGGAAGGCTTGTTTCAGGAACCCCGGAGATGCCAAACCAAGCGTAGTCAAGTCCCTTACATAAAATGGTGTACTGATGGCAAATACTCTAAGCACAATTTCCCCTATACTTCAGATCATCTCTAGATGACTTATAATAATTAATGCAGTATAAATGATAGGTAAGTAGTTGTCAGAAGGCATAATGTCCAGATAGAAAGCCTACAGGTTAAGGACAGATGTGACCATCGTCAACCTGACTGCAGAGTAGGTGGTTTTGATCTGAGGGTGGCTGAATCCACAGATAGGGTACCATAGCTTCAGAAAGATTGCCTCAGAAATGCCACCTTTCATCTGGAACTTTCTTTTTAAGATTTATTTATTTATGCATACAGAACTGGGGTACAGGCCAGAGGTACAGGGATGGTGAGAGGCTTCACCAGAGACAGAGCAGGGAGAACAGACTGACTCTTGAAGTATACTGCTGAGGGAAGCAGCGGACAGGTCAGGAGAGGCCTGTCACGTCATGTGGTCACCTCCTGGGCAGGAATCAAACTCACGCTGAAGTGGCTTTAGCTTCTTAGTGCTGCACTTTAACCTGCTGTACTACCAGGGATGGCCCTCATCCGGATTTTTTTTTTTAAATGAAAAAGATAAAGGGGTTTTGATCATATAGAAGAGGAAGTTGTGCTACATTTTAAATTTCACATAAAAAGAGTCTAGTAAAAATAAACTTTTGTAATAAATAAAATAAAATAAAAAGAAAAAAAAGTCTATTTGGGAAAATTAACCTAATAGAATGTTAAGATTATGCCTAGTTTTAAAAATACCAGTTTTGCTGAACTTTTATCCTTACAAGATTATTCTTTTAAAAATAACAAAACTAATAGCAACAGAAAGTAGAATAATGGTTACCCTGGACTAGGGAGATGGAGCAATGGAAGCACGGTGGGGACCAAGTAGTAGGGGACAACAAAAATGTTTTAAACAGTATTGTGGTCACAACTCTATAATCTGTGAACACAGAAAGAGCCCACAGTATTCCTCATTCTCCCTTTCCATGGCCACACTCTCTTCCTTCGTGCCTCACTGAATCCCTTGACAACCACTGGTCAGTTCTCTGTTGTCATTTGAGGAATTTTCTATGAATAAAGGTTTAAAATCTTTGAACATGACCTTTTCACTCAGAATTACTCTGTAAAGATTCACCCAGCCTATGTGTAATCAAGAGTTACTCATTCATCTTATTGCTGAGCAGTGTTCCATGGTATGGATACAAAGCTGTGCCAGAATTTACTTAACTATTCACCTTTTGAAAGACACCTGGGTTGCTTCCAATTTTCAGTAATGATGAATCAAGCTGCCACTAACATCATGTAAGGTTTTGGTATGAACTCAAATTTTCTGTTCTTTGGGAGAGATGCCCAGGAGTACAAACATGGTGCTGTGAGAGTTACACTTTACTTTTCACAAGACCATCTCACACTCCTTTTACCTCCCACCAGCAACATGCCGAAGCTCCCGGTTCTCCAGACACTGGCCAGAATTGCACTGTCACTAGCTTTTGTTTTCTCTAAGTTGAGCCATTCTAGAAGGTAGGTAGTAGTCTCCTCTAGTGGTTTTAGTAAGAATTTGCACTGTGGTTAGTGACTGCATTGCTTTATGTGCTCCTCTGACATCTGTATTCCTGTTTTGGTGAGGTCTTCTTCATGTCTTTTACCCATTGCATTCTTAGCTTGTAGACAGTCACCTTCCCATTGTGCTCTCATATGGCCTCTCCTCTGTGCACAGTTGGAGAAGAGAGGGGGTGAAGGGAGGGAGAGAGGAATAAGAAGAGGGAGAGGGAGGAGTAAGCTCACGGACAGGTGCACTATCGAGCTCTGGAGTCTCTTCTAGTAAGGATGCACAATGCATTCAGTTCAAGGCCCTCCTCATGACCTCATATGATTTTACCTCTCTAAAGGACTAACTGCCTAATCAGTTATATTGACAGCTCAATTTCTGACATGAATTTTGGAGGCAGGAAACAATTCATTCCACACCATCCAGAATTTAATTGTGTTGCTTCCTTGTTTTCACTTTTGACTTTTGAGGGTTCTTTATATATACTAGATACTAGTCCTTTGTCAGATGTGTGGTTTCAATTCTTTTCTCCCAGTCAGCAGCTTGTCTCAGAAAATCCTCCTCATGGGCTCTTTCAGAGTAAAAGGTCATTTTGTTGATGTCCAACTTAACTTCTTTGCCTTTAATGAGTCATGTTTTTGATGCTGAGTTTAAACTTTCTGTTTAGCTATAGACCACAATGTACACAAATTGCTGAACATTTTCTTAAAAATAAAATTTTAAAAAAGGTACTGAAATTCTGATGTAAGAAATATTTTCGTACTAAAATTACACTTTCTGAACATGTGCAAATTGTTAAAAATAAGTTGGAAATATATTTTTGATAAAGA